CAGCTGGGATGCAACACTTGTGATAAACTGCTTTACTCTTGGGATAAACTGTTTTGTCTGGGGGTTTTGTTTTTTCTTTTTAACTAAACCTTCTAGTAAATGTTATTTTTCTCATCCATTGCTCAGCTCTGAAGATCACAGTGGTTTTCAAGGCTTTGTTTTTTAATTGCTAAATAAAGGCTTAAAGGTTCCCAGTCTCTAATCAAATCCACAAGACTAACCTCCAGTCTTACCAGCCATACACACAGGGCCCCCTTGCAGGGATCATCGAGACCACTTCAGCAACTCTGAACAATTCACATAAGTGAAGATCTGCTGCTCAGTCAGGCCCTCTGGGAGTCATTAATCGACAAATTTTGCAGCACTCTGAAAATTTAAGGACAAGACACTGCTTTCCCACTGCTATCAAGAAAAAAAAAAGCCTGTCACCCTAATTTCAAGGGTCTTCTCTTTCCTCTCTCTAGCCTTTTACTGGAACGTTTTCCTAAATTTCAAAGATTACCCCAATTTCATGCAGAAAGGGTTGGAACAAACCTGGGTCAAAGAATCACTTGCTTCCCTCAGATTTCCTAGAGAAGAGGGATTTTCTGTTCGATCTTGAAATACAATTACATCAGTCATATCTAACTTAGAATTTATTCTTTTCAGTAAGATAAAAAATGGTTTTCTCGGTCATTCAGATATTTGTACATGCACATTAACATAAGATAAATCCTTTCTAAAAAGGCCTCCTATCCAGCCCTTTTGTGTATTTCCAGGAAATACTTACAAAAAAGTTATTTTTGCAACTATGCCATTATTTTCTATAATTAAGTTTTCTATGCATGCATGCATTTGGAAACATGACACAAGAACTAGCACTTCTCACCTGGTGAGGAGAGATTAAAAAGGTCCGGACTAAAACACTGCAGGACCAGGAAAGTGCCCTGTTAGCAACAGCACATCATCTGCTCACCTGGACTTCTAACATCAGCTTCTCCATTACTGCCATTCCAAACAATCTACATTCTCACACTGCACTAAGGAAATGCATACCTTCATAGTGTGGAGAGAAAAAAAAAAAAAAAAAAAAAAAAAGGAGCAAGGAGACAGTCTAGCTCCTCAAGCTTCCCTAAATTAAGAAACAATAACTGCTATGCAGGCTTATTTCATGCTAATCCCTTTTCCCTGCATATTTCAAAGAATGTAGCCAGACCTCATGGACCCCACCTGGAATACATTTTATTCAGGAGGAATCTTTTAAGAAGATATTAGTTAAATTAAAATGTAGCAAATCTCTCCTGAGCATAAGTAAATTTTAACTTTTCAAAGACCTCTGATAAGGTCAGGTTTTCAGGTGTCCAGCGGCTCAGCCTGAAAGGTCTCCTCCAAGTCAGAGAAACCAGAGCTGCCAAACGAAGTGCATGTAGATGTTTAATTGCTTTTAACAGTGAAAAAAGCAACCCATTTTCTCTAACCACATGTGGATAAATGGGTGAGTTTTTAAGCAAGAGCAGTTCAAAGAGATATGTCAATCTCAGATGGATAAAGCAGCATCAGCCCAAATAGGAAGGCCTAGAAAAGTTAAAAGCAAAGCCAAGCTGAAAAAAAAGTCTCTTAATGGAAGTTCTGCATGACCTGTGCTTCGCTCAGTTCTCTTCAGGGCAGAGACTGTGTGATTTGTCTCTATCTTCCACAAAATGCTGAGTGTATGTCAGCGCTGCACCCTACAAAATAACAACAGTGTAAATGGAAGAACAGTGAACTACAGAAAACAGAATTGTATTTCATCCAAGCAGCTTCCCACTAGCTAATCTTCACTTCTACATGCTCCTGCTCATACACTTACACATTGACATAGAAAACTGCTTTTCTTGCTACATCTTCCTTTTCTGACACATTTGTATTAGAATAAATCACAGATAAATTAATCCCCTGGCTTAAAGATAATTTTCTACTTTTTCGGGTTTGCTTCTTTGACACATCAAATTCAAAGACTGTGTTGCATGAACATCAGTAATTTGTTTATTTCAATAGAAATTCTGGATAGAACTCAAAAACACATCTTTCATCCCAAGAAACCAAACTTCATATGTTGATTTTTACTGTAAACATTGCAAAGAATTTTTTTTTTTTAATTTACTAATTTTTGTGTTTGCCTCTAAGTCAAATTAATGAGGAAGGCAATCTCAGGGGACACAAATTTTTTTTTTCACTGCTGGCCTGTGTGCAATTTCTTACAACTAAGTACTCATATTAATCCAAGTCAATCAAAGTCAGTGCTTTGTTATAAGAACATAAGTCTGAACTGAGAATATATCTGTTTCTTGTGTATTACACAGAACTGATCTGGAAGGATATTACGGAAGTGTACACAATACACTCCAAATTCCAGGGCTACACAATGCACTCTTACATGCTAGTCTGCAAGACTAAATGATTTCAGAACTTGAAAATGTTTCATGTAAATTGGATCCTTTAAGGATTAGGTGTAGTTTGCCTTTGGTTTCTGTAATGATGTACAGCAGTCAGACTAATTTAGAGACACAATTTATTTCTCTATTGTAAGGAAGATACAGGCTACATTGCAAATTGCAAAGACTGCTTTATTAAGTGACAGTTAAACCTGAGCAAATAATTCACCTTGAATAATTTATGCACTTATTTTTTATTTTTATTTCAAGAATGTCTGAGAGAAGATTATGGTCTCTCTGACATACCTGTTAACTGAAATTACCCTACAAAATTCCTGACATGGTTTGCTGTTACATGCCTGATGTCCATAGCTATGCTTAATTGTGATTAGTAAACAAAAATTATGGCACAGGCTGTTCTGGCTGAATGAAAAGCAACAATCAAGTTTCTTCTACAATGCAGACATTAGGTTTTTTTATCTTGTAGTGCCTCATTTTATCCAGTTTACTTTTATCAAGAACTCGTTAAGTTTAGCCGAACATGAAATAAATTTAAAAAAAACAAAAACAAAAACCCAAAACAACCCAACACATTGCTATTCTACAGATAAGAAAACTGAAAGTGCAAAGAAGTTAGGGAGGAAATCCTGACACATCTCCTGCAGCATCCTTCAGTAATGTGGTGGTTACATTATGCAATGCTGAAGGAGAAGAAACTCCAACTGATTTAGAATAGTGAAAAACTTAATTAACCACGTCAAGTCTTATCAGGATAGAAAAACCTTCAAAAGAAGGCTTCACAGCTGGGGGAGGAAGGTACACACGTGTGTAGAAGGAAAGAGATTCCTTAGTCCAGAAACTGAAACACAAAAATTGATACACAGTTATCCAAACTGAAACCTCACAGAATCACAAACAGATCCCACTTCATTTTACTTTCCTCTCTGATTACAACATTCTCAAAGAAAGTGACAGAGCTCATCAACTTCAGTGCTAGCCAGAGAACTGACTCCAAATTCCAAAAAAACAAAGGTGTGGAGGGTAGAGGATCAATAGTTACTGTCCCAATAGAACAGCACTAACAAAATATTTCTATTCTTTCTGGTACCAAGGGATCAGCCTCATTTATCTGTAGCCATCACTCTGCAGCAGCAGAAATTAGGGGTTCAAGTTTCCTTAACACTGATTTCTCCAGGAACCTAGGCCGAGTGTTTTCTAGGTGAGTATTATGATAAAACACAGAAGGTACTGGTAGAAATCATGAGAAAATTTTTATCTTTAAAGGACATTTTAAAAATTCTTTCAATGCTTTTTACACAGACTGATTAAATAGAACAGCAAGATGTTTTGAGGTTTTCTTCTTGTGATGGACAAAGAGGTATTATGGGATAAAGGTGATACAAACAGAGGCTTTAGTTTGCTCTATATTTGCCATGTTAATTCATGAGAGTTCAACATGGCAAAAGGCAGTAAGTTCTTGACGTGCAACTTAGAAAACCAGAAGTGGGTAGTAACACGTAACACTGAACCACACAGGTGATTCCAGAAAAAGACAGTCAGTTATCCCCCTACTTTTCACATTTTTAGTTTCTGGTGCAGCACACAATATTATGCAATGAATTCATTCTATGATATATATACAATCCTGTTCTGAAGTCGAGAAAAACTGAACCCAGCATATTTATTACCCCCCTCACTTTCCAGCAGACATTCCTCTTCAGAGACCTGGGTGTATGTGTTCAAAAATAGTAAGATTACCAACCTGTTTTCTTCTCTTTTTACAGGCTGCTATGAGTGACAGGTACTCGATTAAGCGTTCGTGATAATTTATCTTAACACAAAATGGACTGACAGAATCAAATTATAAGTATCACCTCTTTAATGCTCCAGCCACCCCATGATTCATCTACATCTACTGGATTATCCCACTCTTTTCTCCTAGCTTTGCCTCAGAATGTTGTTCACACTACTATCAGCTTCTTTTTAATGCCTCCAACCTAATGTTGTCATTCCAAGTTAACATAAATTGTCTCTAAATATTTATATTACTTTGACTTTAAAAGAGATAAGTATTATTTCAGCATGAGATCTTAAATAATTTAATTGGAAGATTTTCAACAGGAGAGGATTATTATCAGGGGGTGAGAGGGAGACCAGGCACTTCAAAAACTATGTTTTCTGAAGTGCCACATGGAATTTCTAATGACAAGAGATGAGGCAAGACAGGGAGAACCCCAAGAATGACCAGGATCCCAATGCTCAAGTACAGCTTCCATTGACCAGAAGAAACAGGGTTGAAGCAATCTGGAGATGAGATGATTGCCCTTCCCACTGACCTATATGGAACAGGAAGGACAAGTCAATGACTCTATGCAATGGTCCTGCATGACAATAAGCAAGTTTTTTTTCCTCTCTCTTTTGATTTTTCCAGACAATGAACATCTAACAGCATACAGTTCATCAAAACATACCTCACCAGGCTGTGGTAAAGCTAACTCGACTGAAGCTCTTTAAAGACTGAGTTAAATGCTTGAGTAGAAGAGGCTATAAAAATGCTCTATGCATCTATATTTGTGGACAATGCATATTATCAGATGTGAAACTCACCCAATATAGCAACGACTTCATCATCCTGGATTACTTCCAAAGACCCCGAAACCACAAAGCAAAGGCTGTCAACGCTCTCGCCAGCGTGGTAGATCAAGTCTCCTGGGGCACAGTGCACTGTCTGAAATTCCATGGCAAGTGCTCGAAGGCACCCATCGCTTGCCAGCCTGAAGGCTGGGTGCTCCTTGAAAACTTTGCGATTCAAATGCACGCAGATATCTGCTCTCATGTCCTTAGGGCATATCTGCAAAACCTGAGAAGGAAATTAGGCAATCAGTTCCCATGCATGGCTTATATGTGCCTATTATCCCTAGTTTACTACACAGGGTTTAGAAACTACTTTCCTCCTTCTTATAAAATTTCTAATTTCAGTCCGTACATTTATTTTTATATTATTTATACACATAAGCCACAATACTAACTTAGTCTACTTTACAATACCTGAAGGAAAATAATGTTTTCATCTCAGTAACATGCTCTGCTGGATATTGAATTGCCAGGATAAGGCCTCGGGTTTTTAAGACAATAAAACAGAAAGTGGTGGAGAAAAGCTTCCTGAAGGATTGTTTCTAGAGGGTAGGTCACTCTTTTGATAGGCAGTTTCTGTGAAAAGCCTGCACGAAATATATATTCCAAGTAAGAGAATATTGTACAGAGGAGAAGTGTAATCTCATATCCCTTTAGCAAAAAAAATAGTTATTAAAACTTTCATTTACTCATAATATTGAGATTTGCAGGTATTCAAATTCACCCCTCAGTGGCAGTAACAAATTTTTTATTCACAGAAGAAAGGGACTTTAAGGTATGACACTGTGTTGGGCAACTTTTGATCTTCCAAATGTAATGTTCCTTGCAGCAATTCATGATGTGTGCTCCTAAGGGTGCACAAACTGATGCTTAGCACAGCAGGTACCAGCTGGTGCCATTTCTGAAGGTTTTTCATATAATACAGACAGCCGAGTGTAAAGAATACGGAATTACTACTGTGCAGCTTAAAAGTTCCTGGCAAAAACACTGTAAACACATAAAATGAACATGGTTTTGGGATGACAATATCCTTGCAGGACAGTCTGTGATGAAGTACATCTCAGGATGAATTAGTTAAGAAAAACACTGAGTAGTATAAGTCTGCCTCATTTGTTTTTCCTCAGTAATAGCTACTGCATCCAACTAAGTAGCACTTTGGGTGAGCTTCAGAGTTACTCCCACACATATTCCTGGATGGAAAAAGAAGGCTGCTTCAATGTAAACACTCCTGGAAAACATAAAAGTAACACAGAAAGGACTATGGCTACACCTACACCTCACAATGGGGCTCTACCCAATTTCTGAGCACAGAACCAAGCTCATAACTCAATGCACGGCACTGGTTCGAGATATTATGCTTGCTACTCCAAAGGCAAATGACTCTACCAACAACATCACGGTCTTCAATCCACCTCCAAGCAGACCTCCTATTACAGTTATTACTTCTGAAAGAGATGAACTTCTATAGTGCTTAACTGTAGGGCACTCCTGGATGATCTCTCTCGGCTGGTCTCTCTCGGAGCAGCAGCCGAACCTGCCAGTTGTCAGTTTTTCAGGCTCACAGGAATGGATTGGGGCAGCAAGACCAGCATTTAACATGGAACATGGGCAGCAGCTACAGCTGTCTTTGCAATGATCTCGTTTACTCTGGCAACAAAAATATTCTGGATCTACAGATGTTTGCCAAATTTTGCTACTGGAATTACACACACACACTTCACAGTTACTCGAATATCAAGCACAAAAAGGGTTGTTGTATTAGAAATAGTAGTAAGAAAACCTGAATATACAAGGGAACATTTAAAATGAGGCTCTTATCCAAAAACCCCTGGGTTTCCCAGGAAGTTAACTCATTTTCCATTCTCCATTTAGAGAAGTTGTCTCCAGACTTCACAAAAATTAACAGGATTAAAGACATTTGAGAGTTACAGACAAAGGGCAGAAGACTTTCATTTGTATGGGAGGTAAGAAACATATTTGCATGGAGTAATTTTAGAATCTCTCAGCAGTTCCTAGTTAAATTTTGTTATACTGGCATTTTCCAGACTTGCAGACTTTGCTTTTAGCTGATTATTCACTCCTTGGCATGCCTGCAGTTAACACTGAATTGACAAATCTGTGGCTTACAAAATAGTGATAAGACTGATTCTGTGTTAAATTCATCCTCAAATATCTGCCTCATCTGTACAAAGCTGCACTGCACTACACAGTAGCACAACTACCACTGTTCTGTCACGGGAGTAATACATGTTTTATTCATTGCATGACATCCTAGAAATTATACACAGGCATCAAACCAGCAGAGCTCAGACCTGAGAGTTTATGGATTGGCACAGCCATTAACTGGTCTTATATCTGGTAGCTTTTGCTATGCAGATGATCGTTGATTCCTTGGTTTTACAGTCATGACTACTGGCGGCTCAGCTATGAACACACCAGTTACTGAAATCAACACTATATTAAAGCTCTTTGATGTCCTGATAATAAACAGAAAAAAAGTCTCTAATTAAGATAATTCTCAAATGCTATAGTGAGTTGTGCTTGGTTTGGTTATCCTGCTGTCTCCAAAGGCATTCTTAAAGCATTTCTCTCCTTATCATAGGAACCCGAGAATGAACTCTGAAGATAAGCTAAAAGAAACATGTTTTACATGGCAATTTTTTCTTGTTGCTTTGTCAAAATGATGAGAGGAGCTTGTACTGGGGAGAAAATGAAAGCACCAGAATTCATAAGGCTATGTATCCCTGTATTGTCTCTCCACCTTTCCCAAATGTATCTACTTCAAAACCCATAACCTCGCACAAAGATAGTTTGCAAAAAAACAGGCAGAGCAGCTTCTGATCAGCACTATCCAGCACTAAAATACCATTTGTTTCCACAAGCTAGTCTGATGGACAGTGCTTCCCAGAATCATGGTCTGGGATCTAAATGGCAGATACACTGAAGACCATTTAGGAAAGCAAACAGTACCCTGTGTACCCATCGGTCTCCAGACAGCCCACTGCAAGGCCACATCTGTTCTACTCTTTTATAACGATGCTTTAATAGCTAGACAGAACTGAGATTGTTTGCTCTTTAACGGCATCATCTACAGTTTTGAATACAAAATTAACCCACCAACCAGAAGGCTGGTGACTGGAGCGTTGGTATGATTTCCTGAATGAACCACTCCACAAATCACATCTCTTTACAAGCAGAAGAAAAAGAGTATCTATCTCCATAAAAGCAGTCAACTAATAAGAAAGTGGCAAGTAGTTGCTTTTGTACATTTGTTCTGGTGAAGGGCCATTTGTTATTTTAAAAGACAGAATGGGAATTTTACTTGTAAATTCAATGAGTTAGGATGATAACATTTGCTTCACATAACATAGATTTCAAACAACACATTATTGTTACAGTAATGACTTCCAGCTTTCATTAATATCTTTAACCTACACACAGAATATTACATTCTAATTCTATAATGACAAAAAAATTCTAGTTTGTATTCAGGCCCACAGAGCTGCAAACAACCTCAAACAACAGAAATATTGCAGAAAAACCTCATTTGAAGAAATTCCGAGGTTGTGTTAGAACTTGGAACTTTTTAGTTAGCTTTTTTTCTTTATTTACTGAAAACAAAACTCTTTCCTTCACCATTTTTATAATTTCGTAACATACCACCAGTAACACGTACGTACTTTTACCACTAGCATATGTCAGTATGACAGAACAGGTGAAATAAGTATTTGAAAGGGAAGCTACTACTTTGAACTATTTAAAGAATATTTGTCTTCTTTACTAAGTACCTCCTGTTTATTCTAATGAAATACTTTCAGGATGTGACTTGTTTCCTTGCAGTTTAATTTACTTACCTTTTCAGTATCTATTCCTCTGGACATTGACCAGGTGGAAACGATGTAATCCATCACACGTTCACTCAGTCCTTTAGGGACCTGGTAGAGCTTTAGAAAGTCCCGCACACTATTCAGCATTTCATGATATCTGTTTGTATTAGCATACATTTGTTGAAATATGGTTGTCACGTTACCAAAAATGGTTGCATACAGAAGGGCTGTAAAAATAAAAGAAAAACAATAGATATAATACATAATAAGTTGCGATGATCAGTCTGTGTTCCACGTGCTTTAAGACTGGAAATGTCAGGCCCATAGAAATGCATGCAATATTGGTGCTTTGTTAGGAAGGCCTGATGAGCACAAGCATTTTATAAATCACTTTCAGCACTACAAATTGAGGACCACCACCTACTTTTGTGATGGTGAGCCCTGAAACACAACTATTTGCCTTTGTCCACCAAACAATTCAGCAGTAACCAAACCCTTACAAAGCCACAACAGAAGACACAAGAATTTTAAGACAAATAGCTTGACAGCAAATACTTTAAAATTTCATCTCTGGTTTATAGAGCCTGTGTTGAAATGCCATCAGTGACAGATTTCCAAGCTTTAAGTGCATTACCACAGTAGTAAGCTGAGTAATCATTACCCACCTCAGTGTGACAACAACAATGCCTCAAAGTAGAAGATGGAATATGTAATAAATGGCTACCATGGGTCAGTGATTTATAGATGTAAGTTTAATAAAACATAAAAACTCACATTATGTTTTATACTCTTCAAGCAGAAGAACAGCAAGTCCTGAGGCAAGAGCCAGAGCCCTCAAACACAGACTGCTGCACAGCCCTTCTGACTTCATTTGGCATAGTTACGAAGACAGCTGGTTCATCAAGATGGGTTTAAGAATAAACATGAGACAGAAAAAGAGGCAGTATTTCCAGGTGTGGAAAGAAGCAGATGAAAACATACAGGGCTTGAGAAGATCCGCCTGCAGGATCAGAACAGCAGGACAGAACAGCAGGCTGGTGGCAGTCATGTTTTGATGGCTTCCAGAGGCTAAGGGTCTTCCAGCCGATCCAGCCCTGAATGAAAGGGAAGGGCAGGAAGCCTCAAAGGGAGCTTTCCTATGTCGGGAATCAGGTCTGTGATAAGTGAGAGGCTGGCTGTAGAGGAACAGTCAGCCAGCAGAAATGCTGATAACCACCAGTAAGTGCTCTGGTTTGCTGAGGAAGTTCTTCCTCTTTATAGTTTCCCATCCCCCAAAACAGGCACTTAATTGTTAGTATCATATCTGTTCCCCTCAAGATAAAAAAAAAATAATTAAGAAGTCATCTTTTTTTAAAAAATAAGATAATATTTTGTCTTATCTAAATATCCCTTACCCTCCCTCCCCCCTTTTTTCAAAAATATTTCCAGATCCCATTCATTCCTTTGACAATGCAGCTATATATTCAGGTCAGCGTTACAGGCAGATATCCTTAAGCCAACTAACATCCTTTACTGACTTATAACCAACAAAAAAAGCCTTTGATAACATGCAAGAGAAACTTACAGGATAGTCTTTTCCCTGATCAAGAGATGCAGTTTAAATTTAGACTTGCTCAAGGCCTTTACACAGCTGATTCTCTACAGAATTCCTTCTTGCTGCTGTATGACTTCTTTTCTTTTTATAAGTTCCTGTAGAGACCAGCTCTCCCCTTTTCCCAACTACTTCTCTGTACAGACAGGCATAAAAATATACATAAAAATGTGCCAACTCAGTTTAAAAAAAAAAAAAAGGATAGTGAACCATACCAGGAAGTTTGATTCAATGGGTACTGAAGAATGAAGAAGAAATCCTTCATAAAACAGAAAAAGATTTACTATAAATGCTCCTTAATCCATGAGTATTTTGTATTTGAACAGCATTACCTTTCCCTAACCATGCCCTGTTGTGCTCTCCATTATGCAGATGCAAACACAACCCTACAATATTGCTACCTTAGGCCCTACTTACACAGACTTTCACCAGGTTCCCTGAGAGAAACCAAACCCAGGGCCTCCAAAACTGTGACGTCCCATTGGCAACACACTGCAGAGGGGCCAGGCATCCACAAACATCATTATTCTGTCAGCCAGTGTAGTGCTGAAAATAGGTAACAGATTAGGAAGAAGGTCACCAGGAAATTCTAATCTGTAGATTTCTGGGCAACCATATCTGTGCACATACAACAATCTCTTGCTCTCTGGTGAACAGCAAGACCTGCTGGTTCAGTATCTTGGGACATACAGCTTTATGCCTGCAAAGGCAAAATGGAGTCCCCACTCTGTCCCATTACTGCCCAGCTACATGAAGCCTAAAGAAAAATCAGAAATTTGGTTCTTCATTTTGATTATTATGAGGTGAGCAGTCCTAGAGCAACTTCTACTGCAAACTGCAGCTACTATGCTCCAGTATGACAATTACCTTGGCAAGAAAAATTATTCCTGCCTACATTAATTTTTTATAAAAAAAAAAAATCCCCAAGCTTACAATCTGTAATTTATCATTAGTTAACCACTATATTACTATTAAAGACACATTAAAGCCAAGGATTTTTGCAGCCTAATATTGGCTAGATACGTTAGCATACTAAACATTGACCTCTTCTGCACAGAAATAGCTAGTTGTGTGCTTTTGCTTTTTTTCAAAGGAATAATGAAATTAACTCACTGCTGTATACTGTAGCCCCAGAAAGATTTCAGAAACACACACTCTACTACAGGAAGAAAGTTGGGCAACTTATGACAGAGCAAAGCCTTCAAATCCTTGTTTCAAGACTGATTGAACACTGTGACATTAGACCACTGCCCTGTAACAGGAACAGTGCAGGTCATACGCCAACATCCAGAGGTCCCTAGAGCCCTTGGCCAGAGTTCATAGTGTTGCCCTATAGATTCTGCAGAATCTATCAACTCCTTAGCAGTCCTATGTGCAGGGGATCACAGGAATGAAAGGAAAGTATTTTAAGGGGAGTATGAGGGTGGGAGGGACAAACGTCTTTGTGTGGGATGGCTTCGAAGTGCACCATGCAGAAAGGTCACAAACTAATCTGACCACAACCACTTCCTCGGATGCACCAGATGGATGGAGGCTGTGCAGCACTTTTTGAGGAACTGTGTCCAGGAATAAGCCTGTTGCAACCATACCTACATATCAAACAAGGAGAGAAATTCTTCTGCAGAACAAGCAATAGCTGTTCCAACACTGCATACAAAGCTGCACCATGTCAAGCAGTCAGCAAACCTCCTCTCCATGAATGTCAAGGTCCCTCAGAAAAGATAGAGC